ATTTTGATTTACGAGTGGAACTGTTTAAAATGATATATATGTAAAGGTGTATGTTTATTTAAAAAATATAGAGCAATTATGTATATTTGTTCTTGCTGTCTGTTTCACACAAAGAGATTCACACACATGAACACGTATATACACATATACGTTCTATATGGTTCCACATGTGCAACATGGAGTTCAAAAAACGAATGTGGCGAATCACTCCGCGGACATGCATCATCTCTCTCTAATTTATGCTCCATCTCTTTATATCTAATTTCGTAATCGAGATTACTGTTATCATGTGACCTTATCGACATACCACGGTCGATTGCTTGAATTTCCACTGCATTGTCATCAAGGGAAGACGATATCTATAAGAGGCTTATAGATGCGATATGCGAGACCATATGCTTGATTACGCTTAATCTTAGATTACCGTGAAAAAATAAATGGTCTGACGAGACAACGTAGTTGCGTGAAAATACAAGCATGGAAAATCACGAATTTACGACAATATCGACGAAATTGACTTTAGCCCTTAAGTAAAAATGCAAAAGATTATTTAAAATCCGTGATATTCAACGGAGATATAAGAAAAATAGAAAAATTACGATAAAATTAGAATAACAATAAGTATGTGGAGACTCTAATAAAAATATTTTTTTTTATATTATTTAAACATAAACTACATATTTTTTTATTAATGGGAAATGTCACTTTAGCCTACATAATACATTCAATTGAATTAAACATTTACATTTTCTTAAAAGGTTATCTTTGTTGCAATTTTTCGATAATTGTATCATGTATTTAGTTTTTTAATTTTGTAGTTATATTTTAGTATTCTGCTTTATTTCTTTTCAATTACTGCAAGATCACTTTAGTTTATAATAATTTTTTGCAATGTGTACATGGGTTTGTTTTTTTTAGTCACTGATTTCAATACTCTTTTTTTCCGTTCGTATAAACAGTTCAATTTTAGATTTCTTTTGACAACTGCTTTTTTACTAGAAATTCATTTTTATTAAAAAATATCTGTTTATTAGATATTTAATTCTCAATTACCTTCATATATGTTTAATATAAAATGTTTAATTCTCATCGTAATTTTAAAATATTTTTTAATTATCTTCAAAAAATTTTTGATTTATTTTATATTTCAATCTTAGAGACAACATAGAGATTAATAGAATATATTGAACTTATTTTAAAATTAATTTATTTTAAAATTAATGAGTCAATCATTAAAAATGTAGCTAATGAAGATGTCAATAAATCAAATGGTAGATAAAGAAAAAACTACGTTTTTCAGAACTAAGTTTTTCAGAAAACTTTAAAATTTAACAACACAAAACTAGTTTTAGAAATTCAAATAGATAAGAAAATCCTATTATATAAATAATTGCAAGTATATGTATGAATTTTTTTCAAGAATATATATGTTAGAATTATAAGATTAAAATCTTATATAAATCAAATAAGTATATAAATTATAAGTATATAAATAGAAATTATAACTTTTTCTAAAATTATTATTTCTTTTCCTATTTTATGAATTTTAGGAATGTTCATTTGACTATAAAATTATATTTCCATTATTCATCTCAACGAAAAAATTATTTCAATTAAAAGCGTATGATAAAGAGAATATTATATAGAAACATAAATTGCAATTGTACCTACGAATCAACTCGTTTACTGCATATATAATGTTTCCACATTCCTGAAATTCCTGCAAAAGTTTAACTAATTTGACAGTTAGCAAGTTTGTTCAATTGAGAAATATAAACGTGCGCAATGCATTACGAATTCCAAGCCTTCTCGGCATAATTATACATGTATGCTTTGCTCAAAATCATTTCCTTTGGAAACCAGAAATATCGTAATATACAAACCGTTTATTAGAATGATGCTGTATAGCTGATAATCTAACAAGGTGAGAAAAAAATAGCATAGGAGTTAATCTTTAAAGATCATATAGATATTATTTATACATCATTTACACCTAATTGGCTGAGAGTATTTTTTAAATGTCATAGTATGGAGTTCATGGACGTTGGCTGAGTTGCCGTAAGTTTTTTATATATAAGAAACATTTCCTCTTTTGTACGTTAATAAACATAGAAGCTTGACATTTACAAATCGTTTTACAAATGACACAATACATGCATAAAAAGGATTTTTGTTTTAATTAATAATTTTTTTAGTCAAAAGAAAAAGCTATAAATCAAAATTTGGAATAATTCACTTTTATAATTATTATATAAAAAAGTGGAGTTTGGTTAAACAATTTTTTTAATAATTATAAATTTCATTTTCAAGCTTAACTAAATGTAAATTTTCGATTTACGGATTTTCAATGAATAGTATATTCGTCTTGTTTCCATTTCTAAAAAAGGCATATTAAGTCGATACTCAAAGTTATTGTTATCATAAACTATATAAATAAATTTTATAATATTATAATTTTATAAGTATAATTAATAAGTATAATTTTATAATTTTATAAGTGATGTCATTTTATTATATTTTTTATGTATGTTTTTAATATTTTATTAATAATTTTTTTATATTACAATTTATTATAGGCTTTTTTATTTTTCACTATAGATGTGCAGAGTATTTTAAATAATATATCTTAATATCTCTTGAACAATGCATTTTAAAGAAAAATGTTTCATATAAAAGTTGAAGAATTTCGAGAAGACCACATGATTGTGATATTGATTTATTTGCAGATAAAGTCATCATCAAAATTTTTTTATAATCGCCATTTTTTTAAATGGAATTATATATTTTTTATTATGTAATATGATTTATTTTGAATAAAAATGTATTAGTATACAAATATGAAAAAATCAATAGTTTACAAGATATTTTATATTTTATTTTGGCATATTGAGATATTCTATATACACATATGTGTCATGACAAGAATATATATATGTAACATAAACATTTGCGGCACGCAAAATAAAGAAGATTTGTCTTTGTCCCATGTCTGTACGTCTATTTTTAAAGAAGTTATAGCCATTTAAAAATCGGAAGGTGCGCCCTATGAAAAAACCCATAAAAAAAACTCTTATCGCTGTTTTTGCTTAGATGTTCACACTTTTTTGCCTCCCTAAAAAAGTGTGAAAACACATGTAGTACAAGCGCTTTGAAATACGCCGACATATCGCCGCCATGGAAACACACGCGTGCGCTATCTGTCGGATAGATCATCGGTCGATTTTGTGGTCGATATTGTCGATCTCTTCTTAAGTAGATTCGCTTCTTAATAATATAACAGTATTATATAATTTTTGTTCCTTCTGTTTAAAAAGATAAATAGCACGCGCGCAACGCGTATCTATAGTGTCTAATTTATACAAATTTATTTATACAAAACGTCATTATTGCTTTTAAAATCAAGATACAAGACTAACAATATCTGATATATTTCATTTAATAATTATGTTTTAACAAAAATTTTATTTTTTATTTTATTTTATTTCATTAAAAAATAACAAAAAAAATATTGAAAATATTTGAGCAAATAATAATTCATAATTTCATGATAATCTTTTTATGATAATTAAGTGAGTCAAATCGATTCAAACATTATACAAATTCGAAATCGCATATTAATATAAACATATTGTAAACTGTTATAATAATGCTTAATGTGTTTTTGTATTTTTTTCACTTATCCCGATTATTTATCGATTTTCATTTATCTCAATTATCGATTTTTTGATTTTATTTATTAAAAATCATCTATTTATCATTTATTTACAGACAATTAAATCATGCAACACAAGAGAATCGTAATTTGGCATATACTTCCGAATTTATTAAATTCACACTGAATGACATTATGAGATTAATTTCATCATTCGATTAATCGGGCAGATTTTTTTTGTTAAATTTACGCATAATATATTATTAGAGCATTAATGTATTATTTATTATTATTATAAATTACTAAAGTACTTCATAATCTAATAAATTAACTCTCTTTATCAGTAAATATTTTAAATTAACTTCTTGTACTTTTAAATAATAGATATCAAATGTTTTTCAAAAAATGAAACGACATGACTGAATTAAATAAGTCAATAAATCATGACTGAATTGACTTATTCAATTCAGTCATGTACGCAAACATATCTAATCATTGCAGATTGACGTTCTATATACACGGACTTATCTAATAATTGAAGATTGATGGCGAAAATATATTTATTTTTTAGCCGTGTGATATATGGTCTATGGGAATAACGTTATATGCGCTTGTGTTCGGAGATCTTCCTTGGCGCGCTTCCGATAGTACAAACATTCAAGAGATTGTTCGTTCAAAACCGCTCGTATTTCCCAACAATCGCTTATCTCCAGAACTGCGATCTCTAATTGAATGTATGTTGGATAAATCACCGGAAACGAGACTCACGCTTCCGAAGATGAAGATGCATTCGTGGTTGACAAACAATGGAACTGAACCATTGCCGGCTGAAGCCGATAATTGCCGCCTGCGAGTCACCGTCACTGAAGAGGAAGTTATAAGGCTCGGTACTCTGCTTCTCGTCAAGAATATGCTGAAACAGCATAGCTTCCAAGTAAGCGAAAAATCCCACACTTTTTAAATCCCAAATTTAGTGATGTTACAATATAATATTTAATATTAAAATATATATAAAATATTAAATTCACAGAACAAAAGCAATTATAAATTACAATATTGCATAAAATTCTGAATCAAATCTGAATCAAATCTGATATTTTTACTTGTTGTCATAACGACAATTTCCGATTAAATGATTTGGAATTAAACTGTTAAATATATTTGTCTTCATGGAAAAACACATCTTTCTACATTTATTGTACTTGGATAAAATTCAGAATTTGTATTTCAACTTTCCGTATTTCTAAAACTACTCCTATGCTCAATTTAAAATTTTCCTAAGATTAATGTGCCATATAGCATTATTTGATGTAATTCGATTCGAATTTCAAGGGACACAAAAATGAGCGAAAAAAACCACCTGTATTATCGAGAACTCTTTATATTTTGGGGATAATCGGTTTGCAAACTTTGCGAAAGAATTCGATATTTTCTTTTTGAGATTATTAGAGCACAATACGAAAAAATAAACATGCACAAACTATTTCTATTCTGCAGAATCCATTCTTGCCTAAGCGGCTTGATCGGACAGTGGATAACAATACAGAAATCACCAACACGGAATCCTCAGCGGCAAAAACAAAAGGTGACGTACAAAGAGATGCAAAAGCAGAACGTTTTCACGAAGCTGGGAGAAGCAATTCCGCGCCGGATTCCTACGATTGGCATACAAACAGGTAAATATGTTACATTATTAAAAAAAAAAACAGAAAACTGTATATTTTTATCAGTTCAAATTTTCTTGCATTTATTACGTATAATAGAACTTTACCTAGAAAAATCGTACTTGCGAAATAAGAATTTGCTGAATGCTGATGATGCAAATATTCTACAGAGGATTATTTTTTTAAAACAGTTATTTAAAAGCATTATATATAAATATATAAATGTTCCAAATATTTTATTCGTAAAAAATTGATTCGTAAAAGATTGATTTATTCATAAAAAATGAATTTATAGAATGCATCAATAGTTTACTTGTGTTAAAAACAAAGAATAATATTCAATTTATCTTTAATCTCTCTTTGTAAAAAATAATTTATGTGCTGGTCATGGAATATAAATTATCGATAATAAAAGGCATAAATGTTATACTTTAATTTAATCCTTGTTGTATTTATGTTTTGACAGACAATTATCACTGGAAAATCCTTTATCGCCTGTAACGGAAACCGAAAGAAGATAAAATCAATATCGATAAAAAAACCATCCATCGTCGATATCACGAATCATCTCGATCAAATGAGCTGATGTCACATAGAAGATATCATTTGGGAATGATCTTTGATCGCGATCCAGCAATCCAACATGATATCAAAGGGCGAAATCATCGAAAGAACCTATGAAAAATTAATCTTCTAGAGAACCGTCGTTATCGATTTTATTCTTATATTGTCAAAATCACGGAGCATTGCTTTCGATTTTGCAGGTAAGAACTCCGTGAATTATTTATAAATATACAGAAATTCCTAATTGATTGAGGGCTGACAAAAGAACTGATCTGACTTATTGAAAATGTTTCTGTTACATTTCAAAATTTTTTACATGATTAAGGATAATGTCGCGGGGGACAACAATATAATAATCTTTTTCTGTACTTTTACTTATCAAATTTTGAAAGTCATGTTGAATTTTTTAAATAGAATATTTTATATATTTTTTTTTTGTTATAAAATTCGAAAGAACATGAAATACTAAATAAAAAGTATTAGGATATTTATATCAAAAATTACTAATATAGAAAATATTTTATTGTTTACTTACTCTAATATATTTTAACGTAAATAAAATAAAATATCTCTAAAATAATTTTTCAGTAAATATCCTAATATATTCAGTATTCAATACTTTTTTATAAAAATATAATATTTTATTTAAAAAATTCAATAGAATCCTTAAAACTTAATGTAAAAAATATGAAATGCAAAAAGTATAAGAAAAAGAATTATAGCGTATATCCCTACAACTTTTGTTTGAAACATTTTCAAGTAGTAATTACAGATCGTTAAATTAAGTAAACATTTCTATACATGTATAATATAATTAAACTTATATGTATCAGATAAAAATATTCTTTAATATAATAACATTAGTAAATTATAACATCAGTAATATCAGTAAATCATATATTATAAATAATGATATACAGGATGTTTTAAAAATAGATCGCCAAACTTTAAAAGCGTATTTTACTCATATTGTAAGAATGGAAAAAAATCATATAAGAAATGCTTCCTTTCCAAATTATAAATATTTTTTATTTACAACAGATTTTGGTAAGTTCTTTTAAGAAATGTTGGAATTGATTTTTTTTCGCATCAGTACTTGCTTCATATTGATATCTCATGGATTATCGAAGATGTTCAAAAATCTTCCGGGAATGTTTCGTATTTTGTCACACAAAGTGATAATACAATTTTGGAATAGTGTGGAATACAACAGGAGTATTATAAACGAAAATCTTAAAAGATTTCTATAAATAAAGATCTAAAAGATTTAAATTGAGAGAATGTATATGCCATGCGATTAGTCCTTTTCTGTCAATCCATCTATCAATTATTATTCATGTATATAAAAACATATAAAATATGTATAATTTAGGTAGGAAGCGTTCTAAACGTTCATGACTTTTTTCATTCTTATAATAAGTAGAATATGCTCTTAAAGTTGAGCAATCTATTTTTAAAACAGTCAGTATATTATAAAAAAATAAAAATTTATTATGTTACAATTTACATAATATATTTTAAGATTTTATTTTTGTAATATGATTATATTGTTTATTTTATAATTACTTTATATACTTATTAATTTCGTATAAGATTCTCTTTTTCTTCTCTTCTTCTTCTTAATTTGTATGTAAATAATTTATTATATTTGATTATTCAATGATTATTTTATACAATATGATAATAACACTCAAATCGATTTTTCAAAAAAATTTTTTTTATATTCTTCGTATATGATTATTGCATACACATGATATTTAACATGCACCGCCGCGAAAATGGAATACGTTTTTAAACTATTGTGATAAAATAATTTCTTACGTGGACTTACACTTATCTACGTACAATAAAGCATTTTATCATAGATCGACAGGTTTTCTGCTACTAAACAATGATGTAATGAGAAATCGCTCATGTACCTGATGTCTTATAAGTGTCTTGTGCAGTGTACTTATTCCGATTTATAATAGATGTATAAATGTACATAAATATAAAATGTATGTATAGGTGTATGTATATTGTATTCATATTTTGTATGAATGATACTTGTATTTTTTAAAAAGTAGACTCGTAAACGAAAGCCCGTGATACAACGACGCTCCTTCTCAATTTACTATTAAATATGATTAAGCTTTTGTGTTTAACATTATGTTATGAAACATATTATGTAATTGTAATTTATATACATCATTTATGATATTTAATTTTATATATTTTTATAATTAATGCATTATTATATAATTTTATATAATTATATATTACATATTTATATAAAATTATATAATACATATAATATGTATGTGATAAACGATTCCATTTATTTATATGGTTTATATTTAATATTTTAAGTTATAATGTCCATACAAATTTATATCCTGAATTCTAAAATAATTGCAATTTATAATTTATTTGTTTTAAATCAATTAAATTAATTAAATAATCTTAATTTTAATTATCTTATAATCATACTTTGATCATTTAACACATTTGCTGCCAAGCCGCATTTCTACTGTCTCGATAAGCATATTATTTCGTAGGAAGGAGTAAACAGCGAAATTAATATATAATATCATAATAAATAAAAATAAAAATATTCATTTATTTATCAGTGTACTTTGTTATACTTCTTTTTAGCTTAACAAAGTAAATCTCAAATGTAAATAGTTGCACATTCTAAATGCATTAATTATGATCAATGATGTTGATCACGATAATCGATAATCAAACGGAAAGATCAGTGTCAATCAACGGTAACTGTTATGGCGGTAAATGTGTTAGGCAAACAGTTCATCAAACAGTTTTTTCATAAATGAATATCTTTTATTAAAAATAAACATTTTTTTTAATTTATCTTCTTAATATAATTCCTAATTTAAAAATTACATAATATATAAGTATTAAATATTGAATGGGAATAAATTAATAATTATTAATTTATTAGTAATTCTTATTTTATATTGATTCCATTATAACAAAATTTGTAGCTTTCTAAAATCACAATAGAGCATGGGGTATACTTGTGTATATATGATATATCTTTGTTCATAATTATTGTAGTATATTGTAGTACATTCATTTCTATAATATCATTTATAATTTCTCTGTCAAGTAATCTTCTAAAATAAAAGATAAGATTTCAGCAATACCCATTCTGGCGTGAAAAACAAGAACTAATGTTCGTTGTAAACAGACTGATAGCAATACAATGATAGAATAGAATGGCAAGTAACGGCGAAAAAACGAAATATATTAAAATAAATACCCAAGCTGGATGTGTGTGTTTAATATTCTATAATTATAAAAATCTAAACATTAATAAACAGAACGCAACACGACACGACTAATAAACGTTTCGACTTTTTTTAGTTCGGTCGTGACTTTATCATCTTTAATAACAAAGATACTAAACAATTGAGTTGTTAAAATACAAAATACAACAAATACAACTGTTGAGTATATAAATTTAATGTCCAAGTATAGTTCAAAAATATAAGAGTCAAAGCTGTATCGTTATCTTTAAATTATAAAAAATCGTACTTCTAAACCCTTAGTATAAAGAGAAGTTTTTAGAAATATAACTTTTTATAATTTGGAGATAACGATACGGCTCTGGCTTTTTCATCTTTAGACTGTATTTGAACATTAGATTTATATATATAAATCTAATTACGTAATAACATTACGTTTATATATATATATATATTAGATTTATATCAACGCTTTGACCTAAACGCTTAATATCTTTATTATCGGTAAGTAACATAGTAACAGGCTTTTCGGCAAGCAGAATTTTGGTTGCTAAATCTTTTGTATGAAATAAATTTAAATAATCATATCACCAACTAAAACTATTAGTCTGTTAATTTAAGTGGCACGTAATTGGTGATATAATTATTTAAATTATTTTATACAAAAAATTTAGCAACCAAGATCCTGCTTGCCGAGAAATCGGCTATATTACTTGTTGTTTGTTAACATGTACTCGGCTGGTATCAATATATTCTTTATTATCGCATTAAAGATGATCTAAGTAAAAAAGATCAAAACATTTGCATTTATTAACATGTTAATGTTAATCTGTTAATGTTAACTTGTTAATGTTTACATTTTTATAATTATAGAATAATAAATACATATAATAAATTTGGCTTTCTTGTCTTTTATTTGATTTAGATTTTTATTTTCGGACTATTATTATCATTAATTTTGAATTATATTTAACTTAAAAATTATAAATATATAAATATACAAAATGTCTCAAAATTATCTGATGTGTCTTTCACTGATAAAACCAGTAGAATATTCTAAAACAAAATTATTACCATTGTCCGGAATCACCCTACAGGATTAATATCAGCATAATATGGAATATTAAACATATTATGGAATATTAATCAAATCGAATTATTAAAATTATCAACATTCAAATGAAGTGTCATAAGCAGACAAATAAATACAGATCAATGTACAAGAGTATTTTCATTGCAAAGTGCTATACCTGATTTCGCGAATTTTCCACAAACAAATTAGTCAAGTTAGTTTAATTTTTAAATAATTTTCACTTAAAAATGTTATAGCTTCGACATTTTCGTATAAGATTTTCGTTTTAATATTCCACAGAAGCTATCAGTGAAAGAACATCCGGTAATTTTGAAGTATAATTTCAAAGTATAATGTATAATTGTATAATTTCAAAGTTGCATAATGCTATAGAAAATGATCATTATTTTTTGTTTTCGAGACTCACGTTCTTAAGTTATAAATGATTAATAATTAAAAATTAAAAAACAAATAATAATTTAAATCTATCAATCTATTATATTTCAAATTTATGATTTATGTTAACTGCGCCGAACGTACGACCAAGAAAAAGTAGAATAGAGAAATTCGTGATTTTATTGGATCTTATTAAGATATGGGGACCACAATACAAACGTATAAATTTAAAAGATAGTTTTCAGAATTCATGACAGTGGACGGTTCAAGATATATCATGTCGCGAGCCTCGTGCGTATAAATCTATTTCAGTGCATACAATTGTTACATAGAGACTGCGATAAACTTCTTAGTCAATAAGGATAATTATTGGTGCAAATTATCGAATACGCGCATTTTCATGACTTTCATTAAGCCGTGACAATTCCAAAACTCAAGTTTATGTGAACCAATGCATTCTGTGTATAATTGCATACGCTAGACATAACCAGCCTTATAAAGAAAAACAATATACATACACTTTCTGATATGTTTATATTTATTAGATGTATTCGGCGTCTTATAAATTAAGGTCTACATTGCAAAATCTACGTCGCATGATTAATCCTAAATATGCCTGTCCAATATAAAGCATAGGCAGTTGCATTTAAAGAAGAGAATGCTAATACGAATCTAGAAATCCTTCCAGGAAATATGGATAAACTGACTACTGATGACAATTGCGTTGAAATTATGCTTTGTATAGTATTAAATATTTTGATTAGTTCTCTATTATTTTTTATTGGTTCTGTAATGTTTTATTTAACAACTTTTTTACATACACTGAAAGTAAATTATAATAAAATTTAATTCTACTCTAATTATATTTAACATATTTGATTAAAACACACTTCAATGCGGATTGCTGTTAGTAGACGTTTTCCGAACTGTTATACGGGTATACAATTATTGTTATTTAAACAGTAATATATATATATATATATATATATATATATATATATATACACTCACAACGCATCATGCTATTCTAGATATATGACGATGTAATTACATTTGGCGTATGTTCATATATGCCGTAACCGACAACTGTTAATATTCTTCCTGCGTACAAAAGTGCGAACTTCAGTAAGGATTTGCTGACCGTCGAACTAATTAACGTCCTCAACCTGGACTCCACCGAAATTGTCATTACTATAGTTATCTGTGCGTTACGTAATCCTTATCAATTTCCATCGATACGGGCGCAACAGTGGCGATCGTATAGGCTTGACAAAAAATGAATCTTTCGAAAATGTTTCTTCCGTTCAGTTAACGCTCGTAGCATTACAGTTGTTGAATCGCGAATCTGCTGATTCACTTTCTCGAAAGATTTGTCATTTGCCAAACGCGGTTCTATAGCTGCAAAATGTTATCAATTCTTCAATTAGTTCTTTGAGACCACAACATTCGTCCGTATCTTTGATACAGTTTCCGTTTTATACAACGTCTATATATACACACACAACACACACACACACACACACACACACACACACACACACACACACACATTTATCGCGTAAGATATCGAATCATCTGCCGCAAGACTGTAATTCAATTGATGCAATTTAGAACGATCGTCTAATAATAATTTGGAATATGCGCTCTCTCAGATCCAGGTTATATTGCATTACATAAATTAATAATACGTGACTTTATGCTACTAAAGCAATCTTTCGTACTCTTTGCAATATCTTAACAGTCGTGCTATGTCAATGTCCGTTTAAACCAAAGAAATGTGAATGTCTTACGATTGCGTTTTGTTTATTTTCCTCGTTCATTGATGATTTGTTACATCATCACTTGATAATAAAATCTAGGAATTATAGAATTACATTGTAATGCATTTATTTTGTAACTATAAAAGCACAAAGCAAAGGAAAAGCTAATTTTGCATTTGTTAAAATTCATATATCAAATGGATCTGTGACACGATTTAGCAATTTATCATTATGAACTATTTAAAAAAACTTCTGTTTAATTTTTTGTTTAATTTTTTAAAAAACAATCAATAAGAATGTCATCTACAAGAAATTATGATCATCA